AGATATAAATATAAACATGGATATATATGAAAAAAATGAATACAAATATATCGGGATAGTAGGACAGGGACATTAGGCACGCTGGTGCGCTTATGCACGCCACCTTTACAGACCTCTTAGGAATGGGATAAGGTCCATGGTAGACAGTTTAAGGTTGAAGCTGTGAGGGTTTGAGGATGTAACAACAGAGTCAGGTAGAGCATTCCAGGCATTGATTACTCTGTTGCTGAATTCGTATTTTCTGCCATTGAGTTTGGGGCGGTTCTTGGAGTGGGTTGGTCAGGGACATTGCCTGCTCAATTCCAATTGGCTCAGCAGGTCAGCCATAGGAACACCTCTCCCCATTAATTGTCGGGCACTTTACATGAGTATTTTGGTTTTGGCTGCAACCTGGTCTTTTTATCTTTACAATATTGGATTCCCAGGACACCTATAGATCTTCAACCAGGAATCTTGCTATTTGGTATGAGTGTACAGTGTGTGTGTGTGTGTGTTTTGAGAAGATTGTAAATAAATATAGAAAATATATATAAAAAGCCTAAGAGACACATAGACCCTCAGGGAATGGGAGGGAGAAAAGATATTTTACTTGATCAAAAATGATTTGCAGAGGAAATAGTCTTTAGAGGGGGGAAATTAAAAAAAAAATCTAGAGGCAAATGTTGTAAAGGCACAATAGCATTGAGTTCTTTCTGGTTCAGGCATTTCTGCACTTCCAATGAGCTCCTCTGATCTTTTAGACAGACTTTTTGGGTGGGAAGACACAAATTCTTTGATGTAGGCTAGAATGTATTTTTAATTAGCGCTCTATAATGGTTTCATAGATACTGCCATCTAGTGGTTATTTGGATCATCGCAGGCTTTATAGAGGATTGTGTATTTCCTGGGAGTTTGATGTTTGTCAGAACCATGTAGTAAATGATAAAAATTAGATGTTGATTTATCAGTGCACTCTGCACATGTTCAGAAGAGTGATAGGTGGCTGATTCTCCTTCTGGAAAAACTAGCAAGAAATCCAGCAGTCACTATCCTGAAACTACTTTGGGTTGAAAGTTGCACGAGGGAGCATCATTCCCCGTTCATGTTGCTGAGTCATGGTGAAGATATTGTAGTTGGTGGGAGTAACACAATTTACCGCAATATAACTTCTTCCCAGCAGAAGGACAGCAGGAAAAAAAAACATGGTTGTAAGAGTCAGCCCCGACTCTTGTTTAATTTTACATGCAAAATAGAAATAAGAAATGTCCCCAGACATTCTTTTTTTTAAATTAAAGTTTTTTTATTTTTAATTTTCAAAACAAACACAACACATAAAATCTTCCTTTTTTACATACTGTAGAAAGTGTATCAGTTGGTTACAAAAAACTTTTGTGCGTCTCTTCCACAGTCATCAAGCATAATTTATATTAACTCAAGTATTTGAACTCAGATATTTATACAGGTTACCATCATCATACCTCCATTTTCATTTGACTACAATTGTTTAAACATCCTTCATCATAAAATATACCA